ACCAAGCTTCCGCGCCTCTGGCGACTCACCATCAATGTTTGCGGCAACCTCTGCGCGATTACTTCTTACATATAGGTCCAAATTACGAGTTTGACCGTATGAGAGCAGCTTAGCCAGACACATAGCAAAATCGTTCTGACCGCAAATCTTAACTTGGCCACTGTTGCTATATACATCTTCTGCGTCGGTTATAATTATTTTTGCTCCTCAATCCTTATTATAAACAAGTAAGGAACCTTCAGGCGTTGGTAAAACTTTATTTTAAACTAGGAAAACTTTATATACAATTAAAACCCTGATTTTATCCACACTAGGCAAGAGGATGCACTGTTATTAGAAAGGTTCTTTCAGAATTTCATTAAGATTTCATACATATAGATCGATAGTTGCGGTATGAAGTCAACCGTAAGTTCGAAAATATTTATATTAGGTAAATGGGGAGTCAGGGAAGTAATAACCCGAATATACTCCCCGAATTACACTACTATATCTCACAGATTGATTGATATGTTCGGTGAAAAATCAGCCATATGCACTGCGGTTCACATATTTGGTGTCTGCGTCCTTGAAAAGTAATAGTCCGATTTTGATAATTTTTGGGCGTCGGATGAAATATCTATTTGTGCAAAAATGTTATTCTGATAACTTCATTGATGTTTCATGTTAGTTAGTGTAAAGTGAAATAATCAAATGGAATTTTAAAGTTCGTAATATGGGAAGTAGGCTAGATTGTAATCCGATTTTGCCCTTTTTTACAAAGTATATTAGGAACGGATATTCTTACACACTAAATTTGGTTGAAACTGCTCTAGCAGTTCCTGAGATATATTCTCCAATATTTACACCTGCTCCTATAAAGCCCTTCCTCACCATTTTTTTTGTGAAATTTAATGCTTGTGGCCCATTTGATCAGTGAGTTATCGCACATTTAGTAGTTTTCAACATAATCGTTATATAAGTGGTGGAATTATTGTCAGTAAGTTTGGTTGATTTAGCTTCAGCGGCTTGGAAGATATGTACATTAAACCATTTAGGAAGTGGAGCCACGACCACTTCTAAACAATTTTTAACCCACTAGGGTACCTATTATGATCATCTGTAGTACCAATCTCCCTTGGGTGCCGAGGAACATATATATTTAATAAGTTTCTTAAAAATATCTCAACTATTAGGGGACAGGGACAGATGGAGAGACAGTCACCCGGATTTCAACTCGTCTCTTCATCCTGATCATTTATATATACATATGTAACTCCATGTCTATCTCGATTAGTTTTAGGTGATACAAACAACCTGTAGCAACATGTTGCAAGAGTATAAAAATCCCAGTACTAATAATGGTATAATGGGAAAGTTACTAGTTCCAAACAGCGATGTAATATACAATATATGAAGAAAAAACTAAAATTGGAATAAGTGGCTAAAAAATGGATAAATACTAGTTGCAAAACATATAAAGAGAGACATCTCCACACTATATCTCCTCGGATACAATATAGATTTGTAGAAATAAGTAAAAGCCACTATAATAGAACACTTTTTGAAAACGTTTGTCATCATGGAACTTGAGATGTGAAAAAATTCGATCATCCCAATAAAAAGCAGTTGTAATCTTGAGTACCTACACACTGTATATATGAGTATGTGGCTATCTATAAAAGTACATATTTTAAGTTTGCGAGTATCTATTTCAAGAGTTAAACATATTTCCATAATTTAGTTCTACTGCATTCGGAAGTTGAACATTTACCATATGTTACAAGAATGTATGTACATAAATACATACATATGTATGCATATTAGAAAAAATCCGATTTAAATCAAGTCATCATTGCTTTCCGAAAATGGCTCGAGCTGTATATTTATTGTATGGGTAAAAATATATGGTGGAAATAAAAACATATGATACTCGTAACATATTTTAACTGAGATATATATATATGTACATATATGGATACATGTGCATTTGTTTGTATATAATTCGATTTCATCTACTTAAATCGATATATTTCTATGTAAATTTATGACGCTTAACATAATCGTATATAAACACATATTCAGACATAATAACATATGTATATACGAATATTTATCAATTTAGACATATATGCACCTAGGCTTAACAGTAAATTCAAGTTAGTTTCTGAAACAGAACCAGTTATTAAAACAGCAAAAAAAAAAAACAATACTGAAAACAATCAATTTTGTTGAAAAATATTAAAAGCTTCGCGTTTAAGAGTGAACTATGTTGGAGATCCAGTGTGAACGCCTACGCTTATGTGACCATTATGGGCAATGAAGGTGGCAATGCTGGTGTGTTTGTACATTTATCAATATAATGCAGAGCTTGACATAGCATATTTAAAAAAAAAGTGGCGTTAAATGAGAAAATAAAAGTAGCTTAATTACTTAAAAGTAAAAACAAACTAAAACAAAAAAAAAAACGTTAACTTCGGTTGCTCCGAAGCTATAACAGCCTTCACAAATACAAAGGCTCCTTACAAGAATTCTATTTCGTTCAGTTTGTATGACAGCTATATGATAAAGTGATCTGTTAAAAAATAAAAAAGTTTTCCTTGCCAGCATTTTATTCCGATCGTTCAGTTCATAGGGCAGCAATATGCTACAGTCATCCGATCTATACCATTTCTTCGGAGAATACATTATTGCCTTAAATAATAACTCATGCCAAATTTCGTGAAGATACCTCGTCAAATGAAAGAGTTTTCCATACAAGCATTTGATTCCGATTGTTCAGTTTGTATGGCAGCTAACTGCTATAGTGGTCCGATATCGGCCGTTTAGACAAACGAGAAGCTTTTTTGTGAGAAAAGGACAGGTGCAACATTTTAGATCGATATCTCAAAAACTAAGGGTCTCGTATATACTAGCGTATATACAGACAGACGGACAGATGGACATGACTAAATCAACTCAGCTCATCATGCTGATACAAACTTCGTGGCAAACTTAATATACCCTGCTCAGGGTATAAAAATACAAGGTGTCTCATACACCTCTTTTGAAGAGGTCCGAACAAGGACACGCCACAATTCTTTCCTCCTTCAGCAGCATTCCTGAAAATTTGGATCACTGCGTCACAGCGGCCACTTGAGGAAGCTTTTTCTCTGCTCATATCCCGACGAGGGAGCATTCTAGCTCTGGACCAATGGTCCTCGGCGGACCAGAAGATTTGGCCGAAACGGTTATTGGCCGTCTCAACAAGTTTGTCATAGGCACAAAGCGCTTTGTCGACATGTAAGCATCTATTGATCCGGCTCATAGAAGTTTTGGGTACCACAACGGACCGGCATTTAAGCTGTCCAAGTTAGGATCGACTCTCTAACCAAACCTAACCATACAACGTTGATACACTGATATCGGAACTTTTAACTTCGTGGCTTTGTATATTTGAAAATTATTTTTCGGTTAATTTTTAACTGTTTAATCAATGAAATCGCCATCCGATTCACAAACATCAATGCTTGTCACTGCCAACAAGCGTGAACGTGACTGAAAATTTGATGTACTAATATTTGATTGAACTTTCTTTGCAATCTTCGAACTTCTTTGCGGTTTATTCCTTTCTTATTCTTTTATATGAAAGTGTACTAAAGAGATATTTATGTCTTGTTTACAATCTGATTTGGTGTACCATATATTTGGAACACTGAGGCAAAATGTTGAAAATTTTATGTGTCTGATAGATCGCGTTAGAGACGAAATACCGCAAAATAATTTTTATCTTATGTTCATTTGCATTACAAATATTTGTTACCTCGATTTTTATTATGTCAAATGCAATGACGCCAAATTGAAAATATTTGATTTCTCGGAAGAAGGATTTCAATTGCACTGTTATTTTCATTTAAAACGCAATCCAACTGAGTTTGAATTGTCTATGATATAAAAATAAAATGAAAACTGTTTTATTGATTTAACGATGACAGTAATTAAATTTTATGCAATAAAACCATACTTAATAAGTAAACTGCTTTAAGTTGTAAATAGTTTGTATAAATATTGTAACTTTATAAACCAATGAAAAACGTTATTTTCGGTTGCACCGAAGCTATTATTCCCTTCACAAATAAACATTTTTCCATACAAGAACTTGATTTTGATCGATTAGTTTCTATGGCAGATATACGCCATAGGGGTTCCATTTGAACAATTTCTTCAGAGATTGCCCCATTTCCTTAGGCAATAACTCATGCCAAATTTCGTAAATATATCTTTTCAGTTGAAAAAGTTTTCCTTACACGCCTTTGATTCTGATTGTTTAGTTTGTATGGCACCTATATGTTATAGTGATACAATATAGATGGTTCCGGCAAAAGAGCTGCTTCTTTGGAAGGAAAGGACGTGTACAGAACTTCGATCGCTTTCTCAAAAACTAATGGTTCGCGTATATGTAGACGAACGGGCATGGCTAAATCGACTCAGCTCGACATACTGATCACTTAAATATATCTATATCTCCGTCTCCGACGTTTCCTTCTGGGCGTTATAAAATTCTTGTTAAACTTGTTATAATATGTTCAGGGTATAATAATATAGTCTGTGATTGCAGGTCAAATTCGAACATCAATATTAGAGGTTGGACAATAAGAATTTGTCCAAACTGTGCGGGTTTGCAATTTTGCAATGATATTTGGCAACGAAATGCTATCGCAAGTGCACCTCAAAGGAGTGCGTAACAAAGTCTAATTGCAATTCGGAGAAGTTTGTCAAAGTTAACCGAGAGAAAAGTCCTCTACAAACCATATTCCTCGAAAAAAAGTACTACTCCACCAAGTTTCAAACCTTATATTATATATAGCTATCTAGGAGGCTGGGTCCATCTCCTCACATGTTTCTAAATCATTCGATTAGAAAGCAGATAAATTGCTTCAGATGCTAAGTTGTTGATTCATATACTTACTGTTATATTCATATTTATATATTAAAATAGCCGCTAAGTGGGCAAATATTTGCATTTTATGAAAAGAGAAAAAATGTGCGGTTGACTGACGTGCCAGGCACTGTGATGCGCCAAAGGTACGTCAGATTTTATTGTTATACCATAATTGTAAATGTGTATGTATATCTGTGTGTGTTTGTAGACGCAAACAGATAGAACTTGTATTTTATAATCCAGAGTGTTATCGCCAGCAGAAAAACAAACTTCAACATTGCCTTGTACGATTATATCGCATGCATTTTTTTTTTTAATTATTATCAGTTTGTCCTAAAGTAATTGCATATGAAATAATAAATTTTGTTTACAAAACGCACACAAAGAAAAATTGTTGTTGTAAAATGTTTGCTTCAGCACAAGTAAAAAACATGTATGGCTGCATGTTTGTAGATATGTATATATATATATCAATAAATATACATACATACATATATACATATATGCATTAATACGAGCACGCATGCGCAGCAAATGAGATTGATTGAGGCGAGTTAAAGTGAAACTAATAAACAAAAAATAGTTATAATAATAAATCACTATAAAAACATTATATAATATAAGTATTCACCCAAAAACACAGACACAAACATAACTGTGTTTGTGTGGGAAAGTCTATCACTTTTTCACTTTCTCGCTCTTCGCGGATTATAGACACCCAGAAATGTGTTGCACCGCGAGCAATAATGATTACCGGTCCGACAGCTGTTCATGCAATAGGGCACCGTACAAGCACAACAACACCAACTGCAAATGGAATGCATAGAAATTTCATTTTCATTACAATGCCATATTAAAATAATATTAACAGTTTTGCTAACTATCCACTGCACAGTGGCGTAACTCACCCGGCCAGACAGAGTAATCCCGCACAAATGTGCGTTCGTGTGTTAGGCGTGAAGATCAATCGTGTCGTCTCGTTGGCGCCGCAAACGGGGCACGCAACCGCACATGGGTGCGGACCTAGTTTTATCGGCACTGTGGCACTAGCTACAAGAAATCGGTTTAGAGTATATTTAAAATTATTTTATTTTTTTAGGTTAGTTTAGGTAAATACAAGGTTTGGGGTCAAGGAAAAGACACAAGAAGAAAAAATAAGTTAAGATATAGTAAAAATATTAATATTGGCCAGGAAATTGTCGTGTACTACAAGAAATTTTAAGGGATGGCCTAACTCCCATAACCCAGACCGACTACGAGATTTATATCCCTCTACATACTTGACTTAAACCATTCAAAGGAACAACAAGCTTATAGCACCGATATTAATTCTAATTACCCTTATGAATAAATCACCAGAAATATGCTTTTGTTTTGCTCAGAAGAGCCGTTGAGTTTTAGGCGTTCACCAGTGGAACGTCTGTTAGATTTATATTCTTCGATTTTATTACAAAAATTTTTCCATAGAACTTTAACCCTAAAGCAATAATATCCAAGAGTACTCTCCTTGGTTGCGCTCAGAAGTGTCGTCGATCTTTCACAGTGTTTTAACTTGCTAGATCTTCTTATTAAATAATACAGAATGTGAAACCTTACGCCTTACATTTCCTCTATATAAATTATGTCCACTTGTGAATATGCTGGATACTAGATCGAATAATCTATGAAATAATCCTATATTATACGCTATCAATAACTATCAAAGTTTCCGCTGAAGTTTATTAAGTCTGTTTATTAAATATGTAACGCGAATTGCATTGAATACAAGTGCGCGTGCTTAGGTATGTTTGCTAAGAAATCATACAAGTAAATATTTCAACTATTTTCCTATTATAATTTTCGTGAGCGTAGAAGTTTGAGTTGCGAAAATTCAAATTAAAACAAAAAACCGAAAAAATAATAAAAGTGGTTAGCGTTTCCTAACTAAACAGATATGCAATTATTTGTGTTTGCACAGGGGTTCTCAATTGGGGTCGGTCGATGTGGATGCGATTATAACGCTGTCTTCTACCAACGAGAAATAAAAACAATAAAAAACCCAACTTCGACTGCGCAAAAGTAATACCCTTCCCAAGTTCATTTATTATAGGAACCATATACTTGTATAAAATGAGGTCTGTGGTCCGTTCTTCACAATAAATTCGGATATTGCGGCAATGCTTTAGACAATAATCACTGCCGAATTTCGTGAAGGTATCTTGTGAAATTAAACGTTTCCTATACAAGAGCTTGATTTTGATTGATCAGTTTGAATGACAGCTATATCCTATAGTGATCTGATATCGACGAATCCGACAAATGAGTAGTTTCTTGGGGGAAAAAGATGTGTGCTGAATAATCCTTGGGGTTATTTCAGACACGAAAAATATTCGTTCGAAACCAGCTTATAACTGATAGAACTCTGTTTGCGGACCAACTTCAAGTTGAATCTAGATAACATCTCTATGCTAATTTCTAAACGATCTATGTATATCATAAAAGTAAACTATACCAGGGTGTAAACAAAACTTTTGGAGAATTTTTTTGGGAGTCTTTCAAAACTTCGTTCGGCGGTAAACACGAAAAGCCGCGACGAACTTCTGATCGATTGACGCGACCATATTGATAACCCCCTTATCTTCAAAATAACGATGCATAGTGAAACTAACTACAAAGTTAAGTGCAGACAACAATTTCAAATATGCCAAAAATAACAACACTCAAAATAAACCACACTGTGTACACTTACTTGTTTGTATTGGCGGCGAGCGTGTTTGCCGTTGTTGGTTGTTTGGCAACGGTTGCACCACAATCACCGGCCTTGTCTGACTGTCATGCGGTTGAGGCGTCTGCTGTGCTGTGCGTGGCTGCCGGAGCGGAGGTACTGGCGCTGGCGGTTGTTTTACGGGTGTGGTCGCTGGTGGTGGAGCGCTGGGCTGCCAGCCCAGCGGCGCAGCAGCGCCATCGTCGACCAAATCATTGCCTGCGCCACTTCCTCCATTACTTGTTGGGCCGCTGGGTGTAGATGTGGATGCTATAGCCATGTCATATGAAGGTGGCGCCTCCGTAGGCAAGCCCATGGCGGCCGAAGCAGATATGCGATGATCGCGTGTGGCAGCATTGTGTGTGGCAGGATCGATATCCGGGTAGAGCATAGCGCGCTTTTGATCCATGCTTACTTTCTATATATTGTTATTTGTGTGTGTTTATGTGTGTCTGGAATTCACGTCGGCCTTAAGGGATCACCTATTAAATATAATATGTCAATTCACTCGTACACCGTGTTTATTGTTGTTATTAGTTGCTTGCTTATTTATTTTTGTTGTTGTTTATCGCTTCACTGCAACTCACATTCACCTAGTGATTTTGTAATCAAATGCAAATAGAATTTGAAAAAAAAAACCAACGTCGCACTCGCACACCACCACGATCTAGTCAGGCTCGCTTGCACACCGCGACTGAAGTTACAAAGTTCGTCAGCTTATTCACGTTTGGATTTCTAGTCTGCGCTTTTCGTATTCATTTTGCACTTTTTTCAATCTCAATTATTTATTTATTTATTTTTTATAATTCCATTTTATATTTTCGTTTTATTCCGCTTGCCACAATTATTTCATACTTTGCACTGTTTGGCTTTCGTCGTGCTTTTTTATTGCTTTTGTTGTTTTTCTACTTCCACATACTCGTATCTTCTAGCAAATCTACCTCATGTTAACAAAGCACATCAGCTACAAACATATAGAGCTAGAGAGATACGGCAAAACAAAGTATTCGCGAAAAAGCATCTCAAAACGGAATTCGTAAAAATGAAAGTCAAAATTCAGAGTCGCTTATGCCGATTAGCTTATCGAAGCCGAAATGAGTGTTGGAGTAAACTTAATTCTACTTGTTGAGCATTGGTACTCTCAGTAACTGCCGGAGTACTTGTATACCTAGATATGTAGCAATAATTCGGTAGTAATACAATCAAAACAAGATATACAGGGAGCGTTTGATAAAACAGTGAATGTCTGAATCTTTTTCAGTAGAGATTTTTGAATGTGTTATAACTCAAAAAGGTGTAGGATAGCGTAGGTCGATTTTTTATTATATAAACTCGCAAAATCACTGTCATTGTTAAGTCTATATTAGAGAACTATTCTGCAAAATTACGAGCTCTTAGCCTTTTAATTGAATAATGCCTACCGGAAAATAAATCTGAATAATTGGTTGTATAGAAGATATGTGATATAGTTGTACGATTTAGCCGATTCCGACAATAGAATATCAAAATGCACCTATCTATTAAAATATATATAAAAATCGCTGGCTCGAAACCCGTAGTCTCTTGGGCCAAGTTGTTAAGAAGGATAGTACAATATTTCCCGCATATGCGGATTTTCCGTTTGTTTGGCTAGTAAATGTTAGTTGTTGGGGTTAAAGGGTGTTTTTTTTTTAGACATGTTGTTTTAAAGAAGATATAAAACGCATATAACTTAATGTTATGGTCAAAACTTTACTTTATTATAAAAATTAGGGTTTACCATTATGTTCTAAAAACCGCATCGGCTGACCTCGATAAATTTCCACGCAAGATGCCCACTTTTTAACACCTTTATGCAGCAATTGTGGACGTATGTTAACAATAACGCCACGCATATTCTCTTCCAAGCCGTCAATCGTCGTAGTCCAGCAGTGTTAAATCGCACGATAATGGATTATCATCACTCTAAATGCAACAATAGAAGTATTTACAGTTGTTGTAACTTTCGATCTGGGTAAATAAAAAATTTGTAAGAGTTGTCAACGCTTCTCAAAACTGTATGTAACTGTAAAGTTTTAAGTGTATATTACAATAGAACGGTCTTGCTATCATTTTTACTAAAAATTTGGCGACGCTATTCAAAAAATTTTTCGACAACGAATTTTGTTGAATTTTATCAGTATCAAATATTTTGTTATTAACATTTTATAACCGGGTGGCAACCTTATTTCTAACATTGTTAGCAAATGTAAGAAATGATAATGCCTTTACTTCCTAGGGCTACATCTTTTGGAGCCCGAGATAAAATTTTTAACTACTTTTATTAAGAGCAGTGAGTTGAGTGCAAGATTCCCGCTGGGTGTAAAAACCAAATTTGACACGACGTCATGCGTAAGGCCAATTTTCAAGCATTTCATTTGCGACTCAGGTCTGTTGGTGGGAGTCTATAGCACGCTTCATACCCAAAACGTTAATTTAAATGTGTTCTGCCAAAGTAGACTACCCAATCCGTCAATTCTGTAGCCGGGATTCCATTGAAAACACAAAATTTTAAGCAAATGCGTTGTTCATTTTCCGTGGCTATTGTTGACATATAGAGATCAGCTTGCTACGAACATAAAAAAGGTTGTACGAATCTAGGAAAAAAGTTTTATCGACTCGGTTTTCGCATGCTGTTTAAATGGATCAGCCAAATTTGATAGTATGGTATGTATGTATATCTAATGGTAAACCCAATCCAGAACTATGACCTGTGGTTATTATATGTCATATGTTATTAGTTGCTGTTGTAATTATAAAATACTTCGTTGCATGTCAAATGCAATCAAAATAAGTAATTAAATACAGAAACTTTTATATACAAACATACCTAGAAATGTAATATTACAACGAGCAATTTTGTTTGGTTATAATAAAGAGGAGTTACAGTAACATTATTCTTTCCCATTTCTATACATAGGAAGGTTACCATTTAATCTTTAATTACATTAATAATATATACTCAAGGGTCTATGTGAATTCTTTCTAAAAATCGTTGAAATTAAGCTTTAACTTTCCAAGACCCCCAAATTCTTAATATGTAAATCTCAGTGCATATGGCTTGCTTTTTACTAAAAATTTAAAAGATATACAACCACGCCTAGTTCCCAAATAACATAATTTTAAATTCCATATGATTCTTTCACTTTCCAGCATACAAAGCAAGAATCAATGAATTCTGCCAACTTGCAATCAAAAGTTGTTAAAATCGAACCAAAACTATTCAAAAACCTAGGTACCGAATATGTGGACCCCAGTTCCTACTGCGAACTTTTTATAGAAAATATCGGCCAATCACAGAGATAGATTATAAAAATTCGGAGAGAATTCTTTCCTGATAATAGAATGCATATATTATAAGTCGAAAATGGATTGAATCGGATAAATAATTCCCTACGTCCCCATATACCTAATAGACAAATTTTCGAGTTTCCGGCGGACTTTTTACCAAATATATTGGTAAATATGTGAGTTATTTTACTGAAATTAGAAAAGCGTGTTACCCTAATAATAATGCATCTTTGTGCTTAAAAGGGATACAACTGGGTGAAAACTTGTCCTAGCCCCCATAAAACTAATAACAAAATTTTCAAACATCTAGTTGACTTTACTCCTTATAACTATATTGGTGATGGTATTTGAGGTACCTTAATGAATGTAAGTTAATAACATACAAATTTGATTGTAATCCATTCACGATTTCGTCGAATAATGAATATTGAATTCTTTCGCAACATTTAATATAAAGTTTTGCCAGCACCTGAAAGCATTTGATTCTTGCAAAGAGTATAAAATGTCCGGTTACGCCCGAACTTAGCACTACTCTACATGTTTTTATTTTCATTATTCTACTTGACTTCATGACGAATATATCGGTTAATACTTTCTAACCTATCTAATATTCGTCCCTTTGGTTAAAGTAGGTATGGTTTGTTGTCAGACTTGGTGAAACTTGTTCGTTTGTTCTGTTTACACTGATATACGCAATATAATGCATTTCATTAACTTTTTTACATTATTTTATATTTACATAGTACAATATATGTATGTATGTTATCGGTGTGAGTTGAAGATATCTAAATTAAATTGAGTTTATTATCTTCGACTGCACACGAACTTATTTCTTTCTTACTTGTTATCAACATTTTTTTATTATCTATAAATTTCAAGAATGTTTTATTTCCTTTCTATGACTAAAACTGATATAAATAGTCAATACTAAAAATAGTTTTTACATTAACCCTCTGATAGTCAAAAAGAGTCAGCTAGTCTTGTTTTTTTTTATGGTGTACCTCGAATGAAAGAAAAAGAAAAGTGTCAATCGAATAGGCTCTTAAGATCGTGGCTAAGCTCTTAGAAAGTGGGTTAATAGGATACAAATCGAAAGTATGAAATCATGTTCCATAAATAGTTTGATTGTATACACTTTTGGATAATCTAATAATAAATAAAAAACTATTTTGTTAATTCGTGTCTCGAACCCTTACAAAGAAACCACTCTATGAACTATTCTGTATTCCAAACCCTTCCCAATATCAATAGATATAAATATAACCAAATTTATATCTTAATTTTATAACCGCAAATAACATACATTCTCTATGAATTAGTATATGTGAAAACAATCATACAGAACTTTATTTTTTTTTTTATAAATGAAAAATGTTGTGTAACTAATTTAAAAAGCGTGATGTAAAAATATTAAAATTAATGCATTTTCTTGTAGACTTCATTTTCTATGCTTTTCATTATTATTCTCGCACATAAGTGCCCAAGTAACGGTCACACATGCCACAATAGTGCGCCGTATTCATGCAACTGCCAATGCAATAGGGTAGACATATGAAGCAATAAAGTCTGAAAGTAAAAAAAGAAGAAGTGATAAGAAGTTGCATAAAATATTGTATTGCATTGTTGTAAAAGCAATAGTTGTGGACCTTTCTGAAAATTGGAAGAATTAACTGTTTTTTAATATACATATGTATGGTATATAAATATTTAAAATTAAAAAAATTACTGGAAATGTGGACACCAGAGCATATGGCTGACTTTTTGTCAAAAATATCGGTTAATGTTTGTGATATATATTTGAATGTCTGTATATTAAAGATGGGTTGAATCGGGTCAACATTTCCATTGGTCCCCACATATATAATAGAAAGATTTTCGGACTTCTGGCTGACTTAAAAACCTATTTAACGACCAATATATGAGATATCTTAATTAAATTGAGTTTGTATATTTTTTTCCTAATATACATCTGTGCCTAAAATGTATAGAATCGGGTGCAAACTTACCGTAGTCCGCATATAACTAACTTCAGGATATTTTAACATCCGGTTGATTTTTCTCCTTATATATTGTGATGATGTGTGAGGTACTTAATTCAAACTCAGGGAGAATTTTATTCTGTTAATAGTATGTTATATTGCCAAAAATAGATAAAATCAGGTCAATATTACACCTATCTCCCATATAAGTAATTAAAGATTTTAAAACTTCCGGTTGGCCTTTAACCGTATATATCGTTCAATATGCAAGATATTTTCATGGAGTAAATATGTGAGATTATAGTATGAAATGTTCGGTTACACACGAATTTATCAATGCCTTACATGTTTTAGTATATTTTCACTAACTTTAGGTTATTTTAATTATTTCTAGATATATAAAAGATCGATGAAAAATTTGAATTTTTTTTGGAAAAATGTACTTCTGTACATGACAACATGTGTTATTTCAAACCTACAGATTTTGTTTAATTTGCCTAGATTTTCAGATAGTTGGCAATACTAATTTTTTTTTTGTAAGCAAGTTTTCTTTAAATCCTTTAACATACTTTATTATAATTTTTGATAATTGTTTAGTTTTTTTGATGTATTTTGAATATGTTAATATATTTGATAAAAGTATGTAATAAATTTAATAAGGTTTCTACAAAGTTGGCGACCCTTTTTAAAAGTTATTGCAAAGTTATACTATTTATTTAGAAGGAAGAATACCTCATTTTAATTTTTCAATTATTTTTTTTAAATTTTGATATATGGCAATCCTATTTAATTTCTGCATGTATTTTTATACACTGAACAGGTTGTATTAAGTTTGCCACGAAGTTTGTAATACCCAGAAGGAAACGGAGACCCATATAATATACAAGTATATAAGTATAAATGATCAGAATGGTGACCTGAGTCGATTTAGCCATGTCCGTCTGTCTGTATATACGCGAACTCACTTCTCTCTCAGCTTTTAAAATATCGATCTGAAATTTTACACAGGTTGCTTTCTCAGCTGCTCGACATCGGCCCACTATAACGTAAACGCCATAGACAGTGAACAATCGGAATCAAGTGCTTGTATGGAAAACTTTTTCATTTGAAAAGCTATCTTCACGAAATCTGGCAAGAGTTATTTACTAAAAAAACGATGTAGTTTTCGAAAAAATTGTTCAGATCAGAACACTATATCATATAGCTGTTATATAAATTGAACGATCGGAATCAAGTTCTAGTAAGGAGCCTCTGTATTTCTGAGAGGTATTATAGCTTAGGTGCAACCGAATTTAACGTTTTTTCTTCTTTTTTTAATCTTTCGTTGAGTATTTGGTGTAAAATTTTGTGATTTGAGATTTGCTTGATATTTTAAAAATTGTTTTGTATATTTTAATCATAGACTTAAAATATGTTGCAGCCTTTTTCTGCAAATATTTGTAAAATACTTTGTTCTTTAAAATACAATATAATAAATATTAATATTCGTTACATATAATGTGAACTAATTTTACATCTGTCATTTTTATAATTGATATCAAGTGAAATTGTAACTCCGAATATTTAATATTTCTAAATCGCTTAAAAATATAATTATAAGGCAACCATTTATGTTGGTTGACTAAAAACTGTTGATTGGTAATAAAAATATTAAATTGCGTGGTTTATAAAATATATGTATTTAAATTAGGGTGGTCAGAAAAAGTGAATCAGATCGCGTATATGTACATACATATTACAAATTTTGGTTCTGAGTGAAAGCATGAACCGGAAATATTAGCATTTTAACTCCTGTACGACACACCATAATTACCTCCAATCGGGTCAAATATGTATATGTGACATATTCGACTAAAGTAAAATATTTATGTTATGGAGTATCGTGTTGATAATTAGCGAAAATCTGCGTAAAAGGGGTTTAAGTTCTTTATATTTAAGGACCACCCTAATGTATATATCGATAAAATAATGATATAATTAAAATTATGATTATCAAACACATACATATACTATGCATTTCCAAAGGTTGAGGTTTATGAATAAATAACTTTTTTTTCCAATTATATACCGCACAAAATAAATGATTCATTGGCTGTAAAAGCAAATTATTGGCAACACCATAACACAGAAACTTACTGAAAGAGACACAGCAGCAATGCGATCAGATGTGTACGGGATGTGGGCTTGAACCGCAGACGTGTGCGTGTATAATTGTGGCAATAGGGACACTGTATATCCACCGGCACAGGTCCATATAAAATCGGCGCACCCGCTGTGCATACAAAACACCAAGAAAGAAAAAAAAATTAACTGAAACTATTTTATTTTCCCACAAACATTTGAAGGTTGTCGCACTTACGCGTAATTACAATAACATGGGATGTGTTTGCGGCCGTGGGTGCGGCACCTGTTGCTTGCGCATAGCTGGGCGGCGCAGGTGGCAATAAAGATTGCTGTTGCTCGTTGGGCGGCACCGTTTGCTCTAGTGGCGCTGTTGGGTAGATGCGCGACGGTGCTGACGACTTGTCATCCATATTTATTTGATTTGATTAGATATTCGCTTATAATAAACACTATTGATGAAACGATTATTAATTAATTTGTTGTAATAACAAAAATATTTTTTGTTTCTTTATCTTTTCAGTTAGTATTCAACACTTTGTTCTAATTGCGTACTGCCCGTCTAACAGGTGTGAAAAGGCGTTACTATTGCACTCATTTATCAAACCAAACTGTGAGGCATTCGTGCTCGACAAGCGTTTGTCGATTTCGGGCAGCGATACAATCAAAATCGAAAAAAATAGAGAATTAAAAAAAAAACTATAGGAAGGCAGCGAAAGCCAGTCGGTGGCGCAAGCAAATGCATATAATGTACCTGAACTATATATATATACTAGTATGTATGTATTTATGTATGTGAGTGTGTAAAGATAATAAAAATTACAACGAAACTGAAAATAAACAAAGCAACTATCTATCAATACATAAATACATAAATACTTACATACGTATATACTTAGATACATATATATCTGTATATATATTTACTCTTACCCACACACACACATCACCGATATCTTTTGTTATCAGCAGCACCGGTAGCGCGACAAACACCTTCGAGTGAAAAGCTTTAATTTTTATCATCGATATTCGCGGTAAATTTTCATTTCAAAGCGAAAATGGGCGCAGAGCGCGTAGAGTGTACGTGCTTTTATCATTATGTCAATATGTACTTGTACCTCCGGTCAATTAATCAATATCCGCTCAATTCGTTTTTCTACTTTACTGCATACTTCTCGATAATACAAAAAAGTCTTTTATTTGTTTACATTCGGATATGTACTCTACACTCTCTCCATCTCTTTCTTTTACTTCATTCGTGGCTACAAGATTGTTTTGTGACACTTTAATGCGGTAGTGGTATTTACTCTTACTTTTACTCAGAATTCGAAAAAATATTCATTAGGTTGGAACGGTTTTTGAGAGGACACAATTAGCTCAAGATCAAGATCAGTTCAGGCCCTATTGAAGTGTGTATAGAGACCGAGTGAAATTTAAAGTACTTCCGATTATAAAAGAGAGAAATTCATACTCTTGTGGCGATTTTGAAGAGATAGTGATCAGTTTGAAGTGAAGATCAGTTTGAAGTGTATATGGGCCCAGAAAATTCTGAAGGTATTCGGAATGTATTATTGTTTATAATTTTATATTCATTATATTTTTGATTTTTTTTGATATATTTAAATATCTGATGAATGGTATGTTGACATCAGATGAAATTTACTGAAAAATAGTCAGTGATAGCACAGATCTCCTCATTATTGTCAACTATTTATTTTTACCATAATGTTCGAAAACTAACTGTAATATTCTTACATAGCTTTCCAATATGATCCAAAGATATTCATTCCCACTAGATAACCTATTATTTTTACACCACGATGAAGGTGCATCAAGTAACTCCTAAAGCGTCAGAAATTTTCAATAAAAACAATTTTTTGCATTTACTAATTGATATAGGTACCATCAAGATCATTACGCCATTTATAGCATTCTCCCAACTTTTTAAAATCATATGAGTATAATATGCTACGCCTTTTGCTTCATAATAGGGCTCAACCTCGGCGATTACCTTTCCTTTTGTGCTAAATTTTTTCCAGTATATAGTCACTTGAAGTCTGGTTGATAGGAGAAACCGCTGGGAACTAGAGAATATGGTGGTTTCGGAGCAATTCGTAAAACAACTTAGGAAGATTTCGTTTCCATTTATTTGTAACACAATTTATTGTCTTAATGAAATAATACTTTTTTTTTAATTAGGCTGCTTTACGAGCTTTGAACGTTCCAATATCTACTTAAACAACAGTCATTTGGATTCCGTAGTAAAATGATGGAGTCATGTTGATATATTTGTAACAAATCTTCGTGATTAGTACGATAGTACACACACTGCTTAGGATAATAAATATGCGAACAGTTGGTCCACCCACTTTGAACAGAGCTTCTCCATATCCAAAAATTCAAGAATGAGATATCTGGCACTCTCCTTTTATATCTTTAGAGTGCCAGTAACTTCAATACACTTCATTAATCCATATCCCTTTTAAAGATGTTTTTATGTTTTCGACCGTAATAGCCTCTTTTGCATCAAAGATACTAGTAGGTCAGGTGTCTGCGTAATCTGTAATAAATTAACCTTTACATTGTCTAATGTAATTCTGGCATTACTGGAAGAAATTTTAAAGTATAAAGTGAGCACGACATAAGCGAGCGCCATAAGTTCGTGGCGAAATATGTTCGTACACTCGGTTTGGCTGAGCTAGTCGATATTGGTTTCGTCCACTGAATACTACCTAGTTACCAAATCCATTCGAACATTTCAGAGTTCAAAATCAATTTTTGCTGTTCGCCTTAGGGAATTTTAGATACGATTCCAGGTAAAGTCGTCCTCCATACATTAGTCGTTAATAATTTTAAATGGAACAGTTTCAATTCTTTTCTCTTGTCTGAAGTTAAATTTAATATCCCGGCTCGCTTATCGAGGCAGAAAGAGTCTAACTGTTAAAATCATTATAGATAAAATTTTGAAGTAAACGAGACTTTACGCGAATATGTCATGATTTTAATTTAATTTAAGACTATATAATTTTTTCTTAATCTGAGCTGAGCTAAAAAAACTCTCTACCCTTTCGGCTAATTCCGCAAGAATACGGTTTACGTCCCTTGCGTCGGTTTGGCGGGAGGAGGGTAATCGTTGCGTTATTTAGGTTCAGATATGCAATAGATCGGTAAAGAGAAAATCTTGCTCGATTGAGAATCAAATTAATATCTTGTACACCCAAATACAATATATCAACTTGAGGGGTTGGAATCTTTTTCTCCAATCCTGCTGGCAATTTTTGATACAAATATTTAGGTTTAAGTTTTAAAATAAATAATATGAAAAATATCTGACCATCTCTTTTAATTTTGTTTATCATCGTGTTTTTAGGGGATGATTTTTCCCTTTCCTTTGTCACTATGCAATATATATCTCGAATATTGCTTAAATATACAGATAGGGCAGTAAAAAGTTTATTTTTGGTAATTATTCAACTCCGGCGCCATCTATTTTTTCTGGATCTTGTTCTTTAGTACCGAAAAAAGTTAAAATAATAAATGTGAAATAGGATGGAATTGCATTAGGCAAACAGAAATTAATTTTCGAATATTATATATTTATACCCTGAACAGGGTATATTAATTTTGCCACGAAGTTTGTAACACCCAGAAGGAAACGTCGGAGACCATATAAAGTGTATATATAAATGATCACCGTGACGAGCTAAGTTGATTTAGCCATGTCCGTCTGTCTGTCCGTCCGTCCGTCTGTCCGTCTGTATATACGCGAACTAGTCCCTCAGTTTTTGAGATATCGATCTGATATTTTGAACACTTCTTTTTCTTCTTCCTTTTTCCAAGAAGCTGCTCATTTGTCGGAACGGCGATATCGGACCACTATAGCATATATCTGCCATACAAACTGAACAGTCGGAATCAAGTGTTTGTATGGGAAACTCTTTCATTTGACGAGGTATCTTCACTAAATTTGGCACGGATTATTAGTTAAGGCAACCATGTAATCTCCGAAGAAATTGTATGGATCGGATGACTATGGCATATAGCTGCCATATTAAATGAACAATCGGAGTAAAGTGCTTGCATGGAACATTTTTTTATTTGACGAGGTATCTTCACGAAATTAGACACGAGTTATTGCTTAAGGCAACAAATTATTCTCCACAGAAATTGGTGACATACAAATTGAACGTTCGGAATCAAGTTCTTGCTTCGGCGCAACCGAAGTTAACGTTTTTTCTTGTTTTGGTTATGTTTGAATACAGTAAGTTTATAGAATAGCGTAGATAATATAGAATTTTTTCTGTTCTTCTATGCTAGGCAAGTGCAGAGCTGTGGTTTAGCATATGTGTATTATTTACAATGATTTACTTTATTGATTTCCCCTATTTACTTTAACTTTAAATAGTATGTATGTGAGTAAGTACCTCGAATAAAGCGAAATTATAGCATAATTATTGTGTTTACTTTTAACTCTTTCTGTAATTCGTGGTCATTTCACGTTCATACCAGGGTGTTATATATATTTTAATTTCACCAATTTTAGGCATTAAGTGTGATGGTAAGTGTTCTAATAACACAAAAATGTGAAAATCGAATAATGTTAATATGATTGCTTTGCACTCTGATTAGTCGGCACTTCAATACAGGCGAATGTACATGTGTGTATATAATATTGTAAAAAAATTTGATTTTCGGCGGCTAACAGATTAAGTACACACACTTATGTATGAATATGCATATATATATATATACGGTATGCGATATACAGCAATGGACACGTAAATTGCACACAGTTTGATTTCATATATCCATGTATATGTGTGCCAAAATCTTTTAATTCAAAGTTGACTAACATGTAAACATTTTGCATTTAATTTGATGTTGCTGGATCAGAGTCGAATGTACTGCCAAGATATTCCGTTACTTTTTGATTTTATCACAAAAATGGCACCGATTACTTTGCAAAAGTAGTATTTGCGTAGATTTTATTAGAAGAACATCATTATTTGTGTTGTTGGAAAATAAGGACTTAAATATATTCCTCGTATACTATCATAGAATACGAGGAATAAATTCGTAGAAAAAACTCAAACATGTTATATATTAGAAACATTTACGATACTGTAACCCAAGAAAGAAGCCATAAAAATGTGCATATTTTCATAGCTGTATTTATGTATGTATGTAAGTGGTTATATGTATGTATTTTATTTTTACATATACCATAAATACATTATATACATAGATATTATATTTCCGCGCTCATTACTGCAAATAATAATTTCGTTTAAAAATTTTACTGTAATAAGAAAATTTGAAGTTGCTCATAAGTATTTTAAATTGTTTTTATTAAATTAAAGGAAATAAAAAATAAAAAAATTCCAATTCTAACCCGCCATTCATATATATAAAAAGGCTTTCCATACAGGGACTTGAGTTTGATTGTTCAGCTTGTATGTCAGCTATATGTTATAGTAGTCCAATCTGTACAATTTTTTTCGAGATTATACCAACGCCTTGAATAATAATCCATGCTAAATTTCATGAAGATACGCTACTATTCTTGAAAGTGGTTTCATTTTACTGTCATTTGTATCAACGACTTCATATAATCTAAGCTCAAGCCCTTTACAGTTTTTCTTAAAAAAAACAAAACAGTACTTTCGTTGTTTTTAGTACAGATTAATCATTAGTAATGATTACCATGGTAAAAATAAAGCTCTGTTTTTTATTTAGTGGCTAAGTATTTCTGATTCACTCTTTAAAGTCATGAAATCTGGACAGCGAAATAATTGTTAAGCATGGCAACAAACATTTTAATTATACTTATATTTCAAGTCAAATGTTTAAACACATAAATAAATAACATTTCGCTTTAAATTATCCGCCTAATATTTCAAATAATATTTGCATATACGCATTTTTAGTATATAATGCTTTAAAATATATATGAAGCTTATATATGTATCATATGTTGATCACTTAATAAATAATCGTTCAGTTAACTTTTTATATACATTGTTGTTTTAATTTTTCACTATTTAAGTAAATTAAAGTTTCATCGTTTAACAATAAATTAATATAATAATATTATACTACACATATATATATATATATATATATATTTGTATACAATAAAAGTGTTTTAAAAACTTCGTGGCGAGTGTCGAAGGTCAACATATACATATGTGTGTCTGCATGCTTATAACTCCAGCCCATCAGAACCCGCCGCCATTGTAGGTGCCTAGATATTTATTGCAATTACCACAGTAATGGTTTGTGCTCATGCAACTCTCCGCACAGTAGGGTAAACAGACGCAACACCATAAGCTGAAAGTAAATAAATAACAGAAAAACATGATCTAAATTTTAGCGTTGTTATATATACTTCCTTTTATTATATATTTTCATATCGAAGGTTTTCATTATCGAAATGTAAATATGTGTCTGGTGCTTGCAGCAAACACCAGTACTGTAATATATCTTTTTATGTATGAATGTACGTACATATGTGTGGGCTTATATCCGCTACAAATAATGCGCATTTTTATCAAGCAAACAGAGAATTAATGATATAAGTGGGGTTTTTTGATAAGATATTTTAGTTTTGCATTGTCTGGCACGCCATAATGCTGTGAAATAATGAAATACTTGTGCTGGGAGCTTCATTTATATAGAAATATGTAATTGTTTGCAATTTTACATAATTAAAAAGCGCAATTAATATATTACTAATATGAATGAGACGAAATTAATTTTATAAGCTTTTGGCACAACTCTTTAAATAAGTCAATTAGCAAATTGGCTAAATTAGTACTGAAAAACTTCTTCCTAAATACAATTTTATTATTTTTGCAGCAGCCAACTAATTGCCATATTAATGTTCAATTGCTATTAAATTTATTTAAATGTCACTATGGGCTCAATGAAGTGTATTGAATCAGTTGGGGGAAACTTTTACATAATGATGAAAAAATAAGGTTACCAAAAACAAAAATGATGATAAAATATTAATTTAACATATTAATACTTTATAATATATAATATATAGGTATATAATACTTTATATACATTGAATACCCTTCACAAATAAAAAAGTTTTCATACAAGAACTCGGCTTGTATGGCTGCTAAGAGACCAAACTGATAATATTTATTCAGATATTGTAGTATTGCATTGGATAATAATCCATGAAAACATTCGTGAAGAAATCGCGTGAAATACAGAAGTTTTCAATACAAAAACTTGATTTTGACGTTCAGTTTGAATGATCAGTTTGTCTGGCAGCTATTAGCTATAATAGTCCGATATTGGCGGTTCAGACACAGCTTATTGACTTACTGGAAAATGGGAAAATGGTATTACTGACAGCTTAATTGCAGTTACTTGTGGTGTTATCAAAAAATATGTTAATCAACCTAAGTGTTACAATAATCAATATTTCTTTGGCAGAATATGCAGTATTTGTGTGAGTTTACCATGTACTCAAAAGACTACTCAATAGAATAATACATATTATTAAATATTATTATTAATTATTGCTATTTTACGGTCTTAATGAATTTAGCGGATATTTCGTTGACAACTACGATTAAAAAAAAACAAGTAAGGAAGGACTAAGTTCGGATGTAACCGAACATTTTATACTCTCGCAAAGTCAAATGGTATACTCGTTTAAGATTTCTTTGTGGATTGACTGATATTTTCGGTAGAAAGTCAATTATAGGCACTGGGGTCCACATATTTAGAACTTGGGGGCTTGAACAGTTTTGGTTCGATTTAGACAATTTTTGGTCACAAGGTGGCATATTTTAATCGTATTATTCACGCAAAGTTTTAGCCCGATATAATCATTGTTGCTTGATATGCATAGTGGAAAGTGAAAGAATCAGATAGAATTGAATATGGTGTTATATGGGAAATAGGCGTGGTTGTAGTCCGATTTTGCCCATTTATAGTATAACATAGAAATATGAACATAGAAATATGAAAAGAACGTTATGCATCGAATTTGGTTAAAATTGGTTAAGCAGATCTCAAGATATGGGTTTTCACCTAAATGTGGGCGGTGCCACGCCCACTGTCTATTTTGAATGCGGTTCCTATAAAGTCATCTCATACCATCCCAGAGATAAAATTTTATGTCTCTGGCGTGTTTAGTGCTTGATTTATCGTGCTTTTAGTAGTTTTTAACAGTACCGTTATATTGGGAGTGGGCGGAGTTGCCACCCGATTTCACCCATTTTCACACTGTAGGTAGAAGTTCTAAAAACATTTGTTTCCGTGAATTTTGTTATTATAGCATTAGCGGTTTAGGAGATATGCACATTAAACCTATTAGGGGCGGGACCACGCCCACTTTAAAAAACAGTTTTAACTGCAGATACCCCTACTTATTCTGATCCTGTATACAAAATAAGAGTCTTGCATCTTGTTGTGGAGCTTAGTTATGGCAATTTATTTGTTTTTGAATAATAGCGTTTTGTGTGCGTGGTCCGATTACGCCCCTCTGCAATACCAACCGTCTCACAGTACCAAGTTTTATAAAGATATCTCAATTTTTACTCAAGTTAGAGCTTGCAAGGACGGACGGACCCGGATTTCAACTCGTCTCTTTATCCTGATCATTTATATATATATAACCCTATATCTAACTCGACTAGTTTTAGGTGATACAACCAACTGTTAGGTGAACAAAACTATTATACTATTGTAGCAACAGGTTGCGAGAGTATAAAAAAGGTTCAAAGTGTCTTCTGATGGTTTAAAACTTCATATATAAAAATTCTATTTAGTTTATAAAGAGAACACTCCAACTGGACCAAGCGTTCTCAACAACAACTGTTTTGTTATGGCTGCTAGTTTTTTGGTAATGACAGTAAAGGGTGTCGTTTTTAGACATGTGGTTTTCAAGAAGAAATAAAGCACAAATAATTTAATGTTATTGCCAAGATATTAGATTTACTACAAAGAGGAGGAGGTATGCCATTACTTTCTAAAAATAATTTCGGGCAAGTGACCGCCGCGGCCGGCTCGAATAAATTGCAGCCTAGAGGCTTTCGATCACTTTTTGCAGAAATAATAACTAATCTTTTTCGATATTCTGCTCCACAGTAGCAGCTGCTTGAGTTATCGACTCAGTTGGATTATGTCGATCGAATATGGGACGCAGCGTGAGTTGCGTTGCGCGAATGGAATTATTATTTCCAACGTTGTTCCAAAGTAAGTCTGTTCACTGTGGAATGGCAAACCAAACTGAGTATAAATCATGTAAGAGCTGTTAAGAAGACCAACTCCGAAAAAGATATTGCCTCTTTGAAAATCACACTAAAAAACATCCGCTATAATGCGCAGATATGTATCTTAAAATCTTCTGGACAATTATTTGTTTTATTTTATTATTTAATTCGGTGTTGCTTAAGTAATTAAATTTTAAAAATTTAAATATTATTTAAGTTTTATTGACTTTAATAAAATTTTTTTTTATATAATTTTTTTCTTATCTCACTTTATATTGGTTTGTTTTATTTAATTTAATGTAATTTAATTTAATTAAATTTAATTTATTTTAGTATATATTATTTGTAATTATTTTAAATCATTATTGATCATTATTATATTAATCTATTTTTGTTTAAAACAGTATTTGTTAACATTTTCTTACCCCACAATGCACAGTATCGCCGCCATTAAATGTGTCCTAGCATTCGGTTCATAGCCGATGCGTGTCAGCTTTGTAACGTGACAGCCTGGACATGTGATAAATGTTGGCTCCGGCCCCAAGGGCAAAATCGCTTGTTCTGCAAAAAATGAAACAAATAATTAATTATTGCAATCAATCAAGGCCATTTTTTATTACTACTTAAAATTTTTAATTAATGACAAGTTATGTACGTATGTACATACATAGTTCTATAATTCATAACATAGAACATTCGTATTTACCATATGTACATCTATATACGTATATATACCTATCTAGTTAGAACTGTTATGTTGATAAGCAATTTTGGGATATATTTTATAATGTAACCGAATACATTAACATTTTAATTTACCATAATAATTTCTTTCTTCTTATATTTTGAAAGTGGTTAGCAGAAATAATGATATTTTTCATAGAAATCCCCAAACATTTTTTGAAAGACAAGTAGTTAAACGTTTTTAATATAATACAAAAGATAAGAAAATTATTTTATAATTAAAATGCTGTAGTGGCAGCATATGACAGGTGGGCAAGCAGCTAATTGCCGATAAATAAAGCTAAAGACGGTTGCATAAAACTATAATACCCTTCACAAACACAAAGGCTCCTTAGATGAACTTGATTCTGATCGTTAAATCTGTATGGCAGCTATATGATATAGTGATCTGATCTGAATAATTTCTGCGGAGATTATCTTAGAAAACAACTTATGCTAAATTTCGAGAAGATATCTCGCCAAATGAAAGATTCCAATCGTTCAGTTTGTATGCCAACTATAGTGTTTCGATATCGGCCGTTCCTGAAAAGCTTCTTAGTGACAGGTGTAAAATTTCAGATCGAAAGCTTAAAAACTGAGGGACTATTTTGCATATATTTATGTTTGCAGACAGACAGAGAGACGGACATGGCTAAATCAACTTAGCTCATCATGCTGATCATTTAGGTATAAATTTCATACGGTCTCCGACGTTTCCTTCTGGGTGTTACAAACTTCGTGGCAAGCTTAATACATCCTGTTCAGGGTATAAAGATCCGATATATATAAAGATGGGAACAACGTTGTAATTACATAATAACTGACGTCAACGGTTTGACGTAGACGTGACTCTGCCTTCGCGTCATTATTTTGTGCTTTCTTTAACTGAGATATATAATATGACAAAGGCAGATTAATTACTCTATTTTTCGTTTGCTGGTGAAATTGTGTTCGGCCAGTTCTTAAAAAGTTTTTTGAAACAGTCATAACAGTAGCAAAATAATGAAGAACGATATATAGTTCTTTAATTGATTGTTGGCTGTTTAATTTCTGTGAGCATTAGGCGAAAATTGGAAGATCATGAGCAGCCATTAAACATACACCTATTTATTCCAAATTAAGTCATTAGTAGTCCCAATGAATGTTGAGGCAATTTAATTGTTTGTAAGAAGACATGTCAAACTAATAGTATACTATCTTTGTGAAATTATTAATTTTGCGAGACTGAAGTTTAAGCGCTGTGAGGCATATTTTAGATTAAATTGAAAGAGACAAATTAAAATGGCATACCATCTCTATCAAATTCAATTAGATTTTAAAAAGACAATAATCGGCATAGTTTTTTCTTTCTTTCCATTATAGGCAAAACAGAGACGTGAAAGAGAAGTGAAAAGAAGAATGCAATTTGTTTATAACTGTGTACTCTCCTCTTCTCTACTCCTTTGTTTACAACCATTTTATCGGTCGTCTTAAGTTACACCATTTTCCGGCTAACAAAAGCCACACACCTTTCTATTTTGCATTGAGTAATGCCAAGCACACATCTCCACGTCGGTAACTCGTTAGCTCTTTATTTATTTTCACCTCAAAATCACTTTGCGTTGAAAACAAAGCAAATGTATTGAGTTACTTCTGTCTACACTTGCTTTAGAGGAAATTAAATATTTATGTAAGCACACACGCATGTCTAACATACTTTTGAAACGCATGCTTAGTTATGTATGCGCGTAACTACCTACTAGATATATACTTGTATGATGCCTAGCCAGTATATTGAGTGAGCTTACGGTTGTAGTATAAAAGCTATGTGTAGAGATCTCTTGATCTGCTTGAGAAATCGTTTTCAGAACATGGAGTTCACTTGTGTGAATTTATCGATCTATGCTCCCCTTAAATGCTTTAGTCTCAGACTCAGACCATAATTGGTATATTGTAGTATTAAGCTAGCATTGTAGGAACGCTTAGGTGCTTTCAATGGCATTTTCTTTGAATTGTCAGAGGTAAGACTGCATCAACATTTAGTGCTTATCTTTTATTATTCGATATTATATATATAAATAACTATCTTCCCGACCACAAAATTTGGATGAAAGAGTATTTGAAAAACGAAAAAATTTATAAATATTGTTTTACTATTATGATTATTGTGGTCAAAATTTCTGGGAGTGCCAGGTGTTCCTCTAGTTTTTGGAGAAGCTGCTGAATCAGAAAAAAATAAAGTATACTAAATAGCAGGGAGTTTCTTTTGCATATTGATCAACAAATTTTTATCTGAATAAAATACTTATTTATAATATTGATTATCAAAAAAAATAAATAAATAAAAAGAAGGTAAGTAAAATTTAAATTTCGGTTTTTCCATTTGCTTATGACTAATTGCTTCGAATACCAGAACAATTTGTTTCCACAAAAAAAAAAAAAAATAATAGTAAAATATATAAACAAATTATAAAAAGTAATATCAGCGGTTTTGTGCTTTTCCAACTGAAATGTCATTGACGTTATTAAAATTGCTATCAAGTACCCATTTCCGAGCAAACTTTGAAAACAAAAGGCATTATGAGTTGTGTCTGACTAATGAGATTATTTGTAAATGCAAGTGCAGCTAATGCATGCCGGTGTGTGTGTGTGTGTATCCAATTTTTTAATCTGTTGATTATACTATTTTTACTGTTAGACTCTATAGTGAAGAGTGATAAAAATAATATGTATTAAAATATTCTATTTAATTTAAAAATCTTTAGAAATATAATATTTTACGAAAAAAAATAAAATTATATATATTTCAAAAATTAAAATAACATAAAAACTAATTAGTCTTAAATTTTAAAATTTAAGTAATATAAAAAAATTATTTGCAAAAAAACAAGGTATACATTGGTAAAAAAACGTTATTTCAAAAATGTTTGGGGTAAAGAAAATTTCAAGTTTCAAAAAATATAAACGGAATATACTTTTAATGAACTAAATCAATAATAATATAATATTCTATAAATTTAAAAAACAATGTAAGTTTCGAAAAATTTAAACAAAACAAAAATATTTATTTAAATTTCAACGCAAAATAAACTTATATATGTTTTAAAATTTTTTTTAGAAAAATAAAATTAAAGGAAATTTAAATAGTAAGTTAAATAAAGTTTTTCAGTTTGAGGGGTAATGAAACAAACAGGATTTTTTTTTAGATTGATTAGGAGAAGATATTGCTCGGCTTTGAAAATTATTAAATTTAGTTTTATAAAATTAATGGAAAATCAATTCAGAAGGTTTTAATACAAAAAAAAAAAAATGAAATTCATTCATTATTCCAAATTCCATGCACTGTTTTCCAAAATTTGTTTTTTGAATAATATAAATTACAGACCAGCTTTTAGAGATTAAAAAAAAATTAAATTAAAAAGAGTATAAATGTTTAAAATAAAAAAATTTAACTCAATTAACCCTTTTGTTAGTAACCAACTTTACCGACGTCTTTTAGCAACCGGGTACCGGGGTACCCACGATCTGAGTATTAATATTATTTTGTTTATTTTATCGTTCGACTGCACTGGAGCTTAATACACTTCACAGGTGCATTTCTTATAGCATAAAGGATATGTTATAAAAGAATCTTTATCTTGATTTTGATCAAGTAGTTTCTATGGCAGCTACATACATATATGCTGTAGTAGTCCGATCTGAACAATTTCTTCGGATATTGTAGTGAAGCCTGAGATAATAATCTGTGCCAAACTCTGTGACGATACCTTATCAAACAAAAACAATTTTCATACAAGGAACGCTCAGTTTGTGTCATACAAACAATGTTATAGTTGCCTGATCTAAACTATTTTCTCGGATATTGTAGTTATGGGTTTTATTTTAATCAATGCCAAATTTCGTGTCGATATCTTGTCAAATAAAAAGTTTTTCATACAAGGATTTGAGTTAGATCGGTCAGTTTGTATAACAGCTATGAGTCGTAGTTGTCTGATATCGGCGGTTCTGACAAATGAGTCGTTCAGTGGTGGGAAAAGGACGTGTGCAAAATTTCAGGTCGATATCTCAAAAAATGAGGGGCTAGTTCGCGTATATACCGACGGACAGACGATCGAATATGGTTAAATTGATTCAGCTCCTCACGGTGAATATACATATGTACATATATATACATATATATATATAAAACAAAAACATATATATAATATACGTAAACATAGTGGTGGAAAGTTTAATACACCTTGTTCAAGGTATAAAAATTATGAAAAATTGGATTAGCTTTAAGAATATACAAATATTTGAAACATGTACTCTTCGAACTAAAAACTTTTGGGAAAAATTATTATTAAAACAAATTAAAAAAAACTTTTATAAATTTTCCATTAAAATAAATCACCAATACAATTCTAAAAAACTAGTTCAAAAATTACATAATACAAAATAAATATTTCATTGAACGCACTAGCGATTTGCCAATTGTGACAACTGTTTTGTTGCTCGGCAAATATCAAATTGCAACATGCCACAATTCCCTTCTACGCTGACAAGTGAGTGATTCACATTTACAGCTAATCGTACTTACGTTGTATGATTACAACAGGTTGTTGTACCATCGGCTGCGTCGCGGCTGACGCGCTGGGCATGTAAGCGTGATGTGGTGGCGGTACACCGCCGCCCCCACCAGCGCCGCCCACGCTGGTGGCGCCGTACTGTGTGCTGCCGCCATAGGTGTGCTGTGCGCCAGCGCCAATACCACCAGCACTTGTTGTTGTTTTATTCATGCGTGTTTGTGCTGGTTGTTGTTGCTGTGTGGACGGACGGTTGGCGGCGTCGGAAGTGCTACTCGGTGTGGGCAACACCTGCACCGGTGGATAGGGAGCGGTGTGCATCGCCTGGTCGTAGGATGGCGGTGCGGCTGGTGGCTGATCGATGTAGCCGCTGTGTGTAGCCTCCTGCATTTCGGCGGGCATACGCGGATAGTTGACGGGTGGACCTGATTTTTCCATCGCAATGATGTTGTGTTCAATTAGCTTTTTGTTGTAGTTGTTTTTGATATGTTTTAATTACTTAATTGCTGACGAATTCTTGAACTTCAACACTTGTTTGGTTTTTACTCTGTTTGTAAATGAGTATACACAAAAAAACTTCTGCTTTATTTTTTGACACGTACACCAAATGTCAATGGGTTTGTTATTGCTTTTGGTTTTCTGATTTTTTGTTGTGAAATCACCTGCACCGCACGTTGTTTGTTTGCACAGTTTCTATATTTACCAAAATTGTTGCTGTTTTTCGGTTGAAGTTTCTTTCAACTTCGCGTGTGTTCCTGTTCGTTGCCAACGCTTGACTGTTGCTCGGCTTCGCTTAGCAGCTGTTTGCTTCGTTGACGAGTGATTCATAAGCTTGCACAATGCTTATCACTACGTTTTTACGAAGGCTCTCGTTGATTCTAGCAATCAGAAGACCGTGACGCAGCGTTGCCAACTATTTTGTTGTATATATAATATTAATATTTATTTATTAATTCGTGGGCGAGCTTTTTGCATTATGTGATTTGCATGTGAAGCTTAGTTGCTACGGGACTTATTCTTCGTTTATTTTTTGCTCGTTGTATACTGGAATTATAAGACCACCTTGGTGCAAGTCCGACTAAATCCACTCAAATAACTGTGTTAAGAGAAAAAAATTCTGAAACATAATGAAGCCATGAGCAAGTAAAGCATATTGATTTTTGAAAAGCATTTAATTATTTGGAATTCTTTAATATTTTATTGTGGAAACCTCCATTGAAAGCGATAATTAGATAATTTTGTAATTGATATTACTGAAGAAAATCTCTTTAATGAGTTGGATTATAAAAACTAAAAGTCATATCATTAATTAAAAAAAGAGGAATTCTGATATCGAGTGGCATGTTCTAAAAAAAAAGGGTTTTCAGTAATGGTGTGGGAGTACTTTCTATTCCACGGTAGTAGTTGTAATTGAGGGCATACTTTCCCTAAACATAAAATTTAATTCCATCTGTATCTGTATGAATTATCTTGATGAAAATGAAAGAGCGCATTTTTCTAATAACAGTGTATCCATCTGCTTAAAATGAATAACAACCGGGTGACAACTTACCGTAGGCACCATATAACTATTATAAGAATTTTCGTATGTAATGTGCAAATAATATTTCATAATTTTTATTTCATATTACAGAATAACTTGACTACATTCACATCAATATAATTTTTACTCCTAAATAAATAAAGTCATGCCATTTTTAAGATTTAGCTCTAAATTTGTCAATGCCTAATTTTTAAATTTCTTTAAAAATGTGCATGCTTTTGTAGTAAAATATAGAAGTGTAATGAAAAACTCATAACCAAAAGTAACAAAGTTATATAAGACCACAAATATTTTCGGCATTTCGTAATGACTAAACTTTTTTTTTATCGACTTTCAAGTTCAAGTCAAAGAAAAACCTTATAGTCTAAATGCGAAGGATAGGCACTATAACTAATTCAATTAAAGATATTCTTATATATTTCTTTAATATATAAGCAATAAATAATATTTCTGTAAAATCATTTTTTTTGAAATTTATTATAATTTCAATAAGTTTCGAAAATCGTATTTTTGATTTTTTTTATATTGAAATTTTTTGGTTCAAATTTCCAATTTCGCTTACTATCCTTAGTTAAAATTTACCTAAGCAATTTATCAAATTGAACTCAACGATCGTATACACCCAAAAATGCATTACAAGATGGACAGTAGTGCTCAACATTTCGTGCGCAATCCGTGCAGTACACAGCGCAGGCGCAAGGTAGGCAGCTAGAAGTAAAGAAAAAAAGCGACAGCCTTTAGAAACTCATGCTTATATATACCATACATATAGCTATAAGGGTGGGTCAAAAAAGTTCTTTTTTTTTCTTTAAGAAAGTCTTTCCAAGTATGAGCTCTTAATTGTAACGGTAAGGTTTTCCGCCTTACAGTTTTTTAGTTTTGTGTGTCTTTGAATTTCGTTTGGTCGAGAAAAAGAATTGATGTAATTATGAGTCGTTAAGGCATTCGACAATATTTTTTCACACGAAAGCGATTTTTTGGATCCCTTCGGTACTACAATCTGATTGAGATCTATTTATTAATGTTGAGATATCTCAGGAGAAATATGACTAATTTTAATTCCGAAAGTACAGCTTTACATGCTACTCGGTAAGGTACGAACTGGATTGAAATGCTGTTTTAAGTATTCGAGGTTATGTTATGGCTATCCCAATAGCTAATTATTAGCCCAGGCAAACCGATTGTCTAAAGTTATATTATTTTTTTAAATTTAACGGACTCAGTAGGATAGATCTTTCAATATTAGCACTATCCGATAAGTAATAGCTCACAAGTTTGTGTTAAAACTGAATAAATAACGATTAATATCTCCGACAAAAAAGTTATTGTTTTTTAATTGAATACCAATAAATATTTATTCATTAAAAATATTTTATTTTCTGACCACCCTAATGTTCCAATATGCCAGTTATAAATACTTACAGCATACCAGCGAGTAGTAAAGCAATAATATGTGACTTTGTTGATGCTCTGTATTCCATACGGGATGTCACTTGTTTCGAGCAATTCGGACAGCTCAAATTACACGGTATTGGTCCAAGGGGTGGTGACATTACTCAAAGTGATTCGGCGAAACAACAAATGGAGCTGTGGGTTAGTAATGAAAAATGAAATGTTTAAAAAAGTATGGAAGTGAAACATTCATGACTTCTAATTAAGAATGTTGTTGAGCCTAAAAAAATCGGTGCATTTCACTATGGCAAAAATAGTATTGCATGCAGTTTAATTAATTTCAATTTTTTGTTGTCGCTGCCGTCTATTGCACGACCCTAGAATATGACAAGGAAATGCGCTTAGCGAATTTAAATTTGATTTTTTCATATTTATATTCAAATAGCTTGATTTTATTGATGATTACAGTCGCGCTAGAAAGTAATTAGGCAAACTGGTTTCATATGCTTATTGTTAGTAATGACTAGTAATTAGATTATTAATGTTATTTCTTTTTGTTTTGCAACATTTATTAGAGATTTCCAATTACTAATTATGATGTAAAGTTAAGTGCATTAATGCGATTTAAGTGCTAATTTTTTAATTTGAAGTTTTAAGAATTGCTAATGTTTTTTCGTTTTGCTGATAGCAAAATATTCAGTTCGCAAGACTTCTAATGTAAAATGTGAGACCAAATATATTACTTTTAATACTATATTTAGCACCATCTAACGATATTTTATCTCTTTAACTTAAGTGTAAACAAATATTAGTTTTTGTTTAGAAGTTGGTTGTTGTTTATTTAATTTATATTTTAGTGATCATCTTTCGTTAGTTCTGATTATTAACAAAATAAATATTTTTCTAACATTTAAGTTTTAAAATAGTTATTTATGTTGTGAAATTATGTGAACTTTGCGTTCATAGCAGTAAGTGATAAGAGCAATACTAGTATCAGTTGACTCAAAGTTTGACGAAATACAGATGTTTGTTTGTATACTTTTCAGAGAAAAACGCCACGTTGCAATATTCAAGACTTTACTGTTCTCCACAAATCTTATCATCTTTCTGTATACTGTGTCCATTAATCACACATTGTTGATTAGAAATTATAATTAGTATATTTATACATATTGCACAGGGTATAATCGTTGTGTTCACCTAATCGTTATTTGTTACAACTGAAATCAATCGAGATATATTTAGAATATATAACATATATCAAAATGACCACGATAACAAAGATAATACCTGGTAACAGTAGTTTTGAAGTTTATTACCCGATTTTGTATGATTTTGCTTAAGCTGATTCCAAATCGAGTAGTTTTTCTCTAGCAGCTCTAGTTTTAAAATTTTAAACATATTACAGTTTTACCCAAAAATACTAAAATTATAGAATTAAAAAATATATTGCTCTTACTGATCATGAAAAAATAACTTTCTTTTATGTGCTTTTTTTGCATAAGTAGTCTTCTAGTTCAGTCTTGTTTTGACTGCTTCAGCAGTATTTGGCTTCCAAGTTCGGAAATATTTTACTAATAAATTTAAAACATTCCCCGTCCTTGTTTAAAGCTTTTATAAACTGTTTTATCAGACCTAACTTTATATGAAGAGAGAGGAAATATAATGCGGCTCTGGCTACTAGAGGGACATTCACTACATTTGTACTACTCGGTACCACATTCATTCTCATAGGCCACTCTTTTTAGTCTAGTATTCTGTCTTAGCTGGGCTATCCTATAAGCACATGAAACAGGGGTGTTTGGTGTATCCCCCTTGTTGACCCGAAACAAAATCTACGATTTAAAGATCGACGCATATTAACCAGTTATGTTCTATGTATTTTATTTTCCGAAAGTAGTCCAAATAAGGTTTTCTAAAGAATCAGACGCATTTAAACGCATTCTCTAAACTTATAGTCACCACAAACAGCGCCAAAACTATTCAGATCATTTAAACAAGTTCTTTTTAATGTAGAAATAGCGTTTTATTTATGAAATTTAGTAATTTTTTTGGCCTAAAAGTTAATTCAAGTAAGCCGAGCAACGATATTTTAAGAAGTACCTGTATCACTTAAACTAGAGCTGCTAAAGAGAAACTGAGGGTAAATTTGAAATCAGCGAGATAAGTAAGAGACAGCTTATAAACTTCATAAAAGTAAAAAAAAGTTAAATTTTGTTTACCAGTGTAATTGATTAATGGGTGTCTGTCTATTACACAATGGGTTAAAATGCATGGTGTTGATAAATTGCTTGAGATATTCCAGCAAATTTCGAAAAAAAACATTGAATTTCATCGTCTGATGATAAGATTTGAAAATTCACGAAAGTATTATGTATAACGGTACTGTTCAAAGTTTTTAATAGTCCAATCTAACTAATGCTCTATTGTAAGGGTGTCTTTTTGTAGACATGTGGTTTAAAATGAAACAATACCTTTTCGCAGTCAGTTATTTTGACAGCTGTTACTTGCGAAATAAATGAAAAGAGAAACGCGTGAAAGAATTAAATTGAAGAATGGAAGAATGGGGCCACCGATCCCATTTTTCACAAGAATATTTTGTTCAGCGATGAAGCTTACGTTTGGTTGAATGAGAAGGTTATTAAACAAATTTGTGGCATTTGGAGTGATGATAATCCACAAAAAAAATATATATATACTTCTGATGATAATAATCATGATATCTTTAAGAAATTAGGTAAAAAAGAGAAGAGATCATACAGAAACATGATTTTGATCGTCCAGTTCGTAATTCAGCTATATGCTATAGTAATCCATTATCGCGGTTCCAACAAATAAGCAGCTTCTTAGGAAGAAAGGACGTGTGCAAATTTTCAGATCGATATCTTAAAACTTAGAACCGAAGAATATTGCTATTTAATTTACTAAAACAAAATATATATATGTAGGCTTGCCATTTTCGGCGATTCTATCGAAGACAAACCCAATTTTAGAGTTAATAAATATTCAACTAATACTTAAAACCAAAAGAGCAGATTCTCGTCATGCATAATTTTATCACAATTTCCATTTTTAAAGCCATTTGATAATTAAAAATGAATAGCTGAAATTGCTACTTTTATGACTGTTCTGCATTTTCTTTTGCTATTCTTTAACGATATTATTACGCACTTAAAAATATCGGATAATCAAATATATTAAATAAAATATCTTTTGTAAGGCACGTTTGTGATTGAGACAGACAGTAACCAACAGTGAAAATATTTTGACTAAAAGTAATTTTACGTAATCATGCAAGTATTTGGGACAGTTGTCAAACGTAGAAACATTTTTATATATACCCTTGGTTGATTGGTTGAAAGAAGACACAATACGCCTATTGTGCTCCGAAATACGTACCAATATGTATAACATATCTACACTTCTTGCAAGGTGTGGTCGAAAACAAGGCGTGAAACTCAGTTAATTTTATAGCATAAGGACATACTTAGGTATGTGGTATGTGTTCACTTGATTTGTTTATCCACAAAGGTCCTTTAGTTATTTATTGTGCTTTACAACAATGCAAATGGCTAGAGTGACATAATGTATTTGAAGGAGGAAGGAGTTAGAAGAGTTTTGTTGGGGTGTGCTTTGACCGTGAACAATGGAATGAAACGTGCAGAATTTTGGTTGGAGGTATCTACTTGTAGTATGAACTTGTAGTGTTATTATACTTGTAGATAGCAAAGAAAAAAAATTTTGGTAAGGGGAGTCTTTCAGTGCGAACATTACACGAAGTTAAAATAGATTAGAATAATTGTCAAGCCTTAACTAAATAATTTAAGATTATACACGTCGACCAAATAACCAAAACCCAGAAAAAAGTTTTGTAACCACACATAAATATAAATGCCTCAAAAAGACACATTAAATTAGTAATATTCTCACCTCTTAGTGAAAAAGTAAATTAATTAAGACAAATGGGGAATAATCTACATTGCAAGTTCAAGTAGATTATGGAGACTGTAGTTGATAACCTGATTAAGGTGTTGTTTTAATATCAAAGTCGACAAACACTGCGACTAAAACACGAATAAATAATAACAATTAACGAAGAACTAGGTTCGAGCCAAACCGAACAGTACAAGGCCGGTAATTAGTAATAGTTATTAGTGAAGTTGTCGATCCATTATAGTTATTTTGGACACCAAACTTACTATATGTGTACAGTAACATGCTTACCCA